TGCTATCACCATTAGTAGGTTTATTATTATTATTATTATTGTTGTTGTTGTTGTTGTTGTTGTTGTTATTATTACCTTGGATGGTAGCAGGTTTACTTCTTCAATAAACGTGCCTCCATAATGTATAATGTGAAACAATTTCGACCGAAATATCTTCTCAATTATAAATACGATAGCAGGACCAACGAACCACTTCCAGAAGTGAGGCCCATGAAGTATCAATACAATATACCAGATGATGTACAGGCAATGAGACCAGTAGAATACTTCAAATTTTCCTTTACGTCTTACAACAGGCAGCGAGCATATAAACATTATTATTAATATTATTAGTAATAGGAGTCCTGTTAGTCCAGCAGAGCCATAGACCCAACCAATAGTACCAACACCAAACAAGTACTGGACCATTGAAGAATTAGAATATATGCTGTCGTTAATTTCAATGTAACCTATTGGTAATAATAATAATAATAATAATAATAATAATAATAATAATAATAATAATAATAATAATAATAATAATACTTGAAAAATTGAAGTCGGAATCAGCTCAAACTTTCTACACAGCATAAGGACATCAATATGCATCAGAAAATGTAATAAAAATTTGGGGTAATTTCGGAGGCATTTTTTGAAAAAACCATGGGCTATAGCCTTGGGTATTTTTCACAAATTGGCCATTTTTAAAAGCCGGCCATAACTTGAAAAATTGAAGTCGGAATCAGCTCAAACTTTCTACACAGCATAAGTACATCAATATGCCTCAGAAAATGTTATAAAAATTGGTGGTGATTTTGGAGCCATTTTTCAGAAAAAACCATGGGCCATAGCCTTTGATAATGACATATTTATCAGACAGTTCGTAACTAAAAGTATAACTCACTGAAATTTGCAAGATGTGCCAAGAAATGAACAAGGGATAGTACAATAATAGTATACCCCACAATCTTGTGTAGTTTAATGAACTTGTCCAGTGGAAATAAAAAAGAGAGTCTAATGAGTGTAGCAATATGACGATACATCAGTATAAGGACAACCACTGGAGAGAAGTTAAGACAGGCACCTGCTCCTCGTGCTATTGATATTAGAAACACTGAGAGAGAAAGGGAGAGAGAATCTGGGACAGCCAGAACGATCAGTTCTTGACTCTCTGTCACAGCCCAAAGAGCCTGGGAAAGCAGGCTCATACAACAAGAGTATTGCACTATACTTCCTAGGTTGGCTCTCTTGGCATCTTTCTTGACTCTAGAATAGTTTTTAGCTTCAAAATGTAGTGACCAAGATCTCCAGGACACAGAAAGCACTTGCTGCTTGACGTAAAACATGGTGGCCAATTATTGTATGTGGGCGTAGATCTACCTTAAAGCCACTTATTTTTAAGTAGACAAATTTTTGCGATTTGTTAATGGTATTGATTTAACGAGTACTAATTTTTGGGATTTAGCTCATTTTTTCAATTGACCTTTTGCACTTAAGCGATTCTAATTAACGCGCACCCAAAGTGGTGGTAAAATGGCGGATTTTTGGAGGAAAGACAGGCTGAAGAATCTTCTCTTTTATCCAGCCATTCTAGCTGTAGGAGCCGCTTTGAGCTGTCCTTTTGTTTCAGTATACTCTATTTATCTCTTCTGTAAGCTCTTTGGTTGCTGTTTTGGCTTTTATAGCATTTTATCATAGGAACATTCTCACCCATTGGCAATTCCCGTTTTTCTAAATTTTGCTTTCAGGAGCCAAGGCGCTTGCCCCTCCATTGCTAGGAAGACAGAAGTGTATTCAGCTGAGTCCTATGACTAGTGTCTATCATCAGAGTTAGTCTCAGTCATCAGAACCAGGTACGGTGGAATAACTCACTCAGTTGTCATGTTGCAGCTGGAGTGTGGATGATTATGACCATCTTTTCACTTCTTAAAACTATAGGTTGGGTCTTTT